ATATGATCATCTCGATAGTTGCAGAAAAAGCATTCGACAAAGTACAGCATCCCTTTATGTTCAAAACTCTAGAAAAACTAGGGATAACAGGAACATACCTCAATATTGTAAAAGCTATCTATGCTAAGCCTCAGGCTAGCATCATTCTGAATGGAGAAAAATTGAAGGCATTCCCTCTAAAATCTGGAACAAGACAGGGATGCCCGTTCTCACCACTTCTGTTCAACATAGTTCTCAAAACACTGGCCAGAGCTATTAGACAGACGAAAGAAATTAAAGGCACAAAAATAGGAAAAGAAGAACTTAAATTATCACTATTTGCAGGTGACATGATTCTATACCTAGCAGACCCAAAAGGGTCTACAAAGAAACTATTAGAGCTAATAAATGAATTCAGCAAAGTGGCAGGATATAAAATCAACACGCATAAATCAAAGGCATTCCTGTATATCAGCGACAAATCCTCTGATATGGAAATGAGGAAAACCACTTCATTCACAATATCCTCAAAAAAAATAAAATACTTGGGAATCAACCTAACAAAAGAGGTGAAAGACTTATACAATGAAAACTACAGAACCCTAAAGAGAGAAATAGAAGAAGATCTTAGAAGATGAAAAAATACACCCTGTTCATGGATAGGCAGAACTAACATCATCAAAATGGCGATATTACCAAAAGTTCTCTATAGGTTTAATGCAATGCCAATCAAAATCCCAACGGCATTTCTTGTAGAAATAGAGAAAGCAATCATGAAATTCATATGGAAAAATAAAAGACCCAGAATAGCAAAAACAACTCTAAGCAGGAAGTGTGAATCAGGTGGTATAGCTATACCAGACCTCAAACTATACTACAGAGCAATAGTAACAAAAACAGCATGGTACTGGTACCAAAACAGGAGGGTGGACCAATGGTACAGAATAGAGGACACAGAAACCAATCCACAAAACTACAACTATCTTATATTTGATAAAGGGGCTAAAAGCATTAAATGGAGGAAGGATAGCATCTTCAACAAATGGTGCTGGGAAAACTGGAAATCCATATGCAACACAATGAAACTGAATCCCTTTCTCTCGCCATGCACAAAAGTTAACTCAAAATGGATCAAGGAGCTTGATATCAAATCAGAGACTCGCCGTCTGATAGAAGAAAAAGTTGGCTACGATCTACATACGGTGGGGTCGGGCTCCAAATTCCTCAATAGGACACCCATAACACAAAAGTTAATAACTAGAATCAGCAAATGGGACTTACTCAAACTAAAAAGTTTTTTTCTCAGCAAAAGAAACAATAAGAGAGGTAAATAGGGAGCCTACATCCTGGGAACAAATCTTTACTCCTCACACTTCAGATAGAGCCCTAATATCCAGAGTATACAAAGAACTCAAAAAATTAAACAATAAGATAACAAATAACCCAATCAACAAATGGGCCAAGGACCTGAACAGACACTTCTCAGAGGAGGACATACAATCAATCAATAAGTACATGAAAAAATGCTCACCATCTCTAGCAGTCAGAGAAATGCAAATCAAAACCACCCTAAGATACCATCTCACTCCAGTAAGATTGGCAGCCATTATGAAGTCAAACAACAACAACAACAAAAAAAGTGCTGGCGAGGATGTGGGGAAAAGGGTACACTTGTACATTGCTGGTGGGACTGCAAATTGGTGCAGCCAATTTGGAAAGCAGTATGGAGATTTCTTGGAAAGCTGGGAATGGAACCACCATTTGACCCAGCTATTCCCCTTCTCGGTCTATTCCCTAAAGACCTAAAAAGAGCATGCTACAGGGACACTGCTACATCGATGTTCATAGCAGCACAATTCACAATAGCAAGACTGTGGAACCAACCTAGATGCCCTTCAATAGATGAATGGATAAAAAAATGTGGCATTTATACACAATGGAGTATTACTCTGCATTAAAAAATGACAAAATCATAGAATTTGCAGGGAAATGGATGGCATTAGAACAGATTATGCTAAGTGAAGCTAGCCAATCCCTAAAAAACAAATGCCAAATGCTTTCTTTGATATAAGGAGAGTAACTAAGAACAGAGTTGGGAGGAAGAGCATGAGAAGAAGATTAACATTAAACAGGGGTGAGAAGTGGGAGGGAAAAGGAAAGAGAAGGGAAATTGCGTGGAAATGGAAGGAAACCCTCATGGTTATACAAAATTACATACAAGAGGAAGTGAGGGGAAAGGGGAAAAAAACAAGGGGGAGAAATGAATTACAGTAGATGGGGTAGAGAGAGAAGATGGGAGGGGAGGGGATGGGGGATACTAGAGGATAGGAAAGGCAGCAGAATACAACAGACACTAATATAGCAATACGTAAAACAGTGGATGTGTAACCGATGTGATGCTGCAATCTGTATACGGGGTAAACATGGGAGTTCATCACCCACTTGAATCAAAGTGTGAAATATGATATGTCAAGAACTATGTAATGTTTTGAACAACCAACAATAAAAATTAAGGGAAAAAATGTGACCCAATTTTTCTCTCTTGCAGCTTTTATTTTTTTCCTTATTTTCTGTGTTAAGTATTTTGGTTCTGGTGTGTCTTGGATAAATTCCCTTCTGTTAAAATCTAGGTGGGGTGGTTGTCTATCTCCTTTCTGATGTGGGGAAGTTTTCTCTATCTAATTGAAAATGTACTTCATGCCTTTAGCTTGTATCTCCTTTTTCTCTTTTACCCCAATGATTTTCAGGTTTAGTCTCTTGATGTTGTTCCAAAGTTCTTGTATATTTTGATCATATTCTATTATTTTTTCCTTCATTGTATTTTGTGTATTCAAATCCATATACCCTGTCCTCAAGACTAAGTGTTCGGTCTTCAAGTGCTGAAGTTCTTTGTCACACAATCTAATATGTTAGTGACGCTTTCAAGTGAATTTTTATTTGATTCATTGTGTCTTTCATTTCCAGGAGTTCTGATTGATTTCTTTTCAATATTTCTATTTCTTTATTGAAATGATCTTTTATTTCTTATATTTGCTTTCATAATTCATTCCTTAGATCTTCTTTCTCATTGAAAATTTTGATCCTTAGTGAGATATATATATAAAATCTTCCTCTGGAATTTCCTCCAATTCCATTTCTATGGGATCTTTTGGGGAGAATTGTGAATTTTGATGGGGGATTTGTTTGTGTGTTTCCTCGTATCATCTGGGGTCCTGGACTTGTGCGACAATTGAGGTGGGTTCCCCTTCCTGTTTCAGGTGTATTTTTGTTTTTTATATTTGAGTAGATGTATAGGTTGGAGACCTAAGGTTTCTCCCTGGTTGTTCCTCCTTGCGGCATGGCTTTTGGTTCGTGTTTTCATCTTCCCAATTCTTTGAGTTAAATAAATGTTTAGGCTCTGTTCTGCATTTCTCCCCAATTCCTGGATTTTCTGTTTATGTTTTTACCTGCTCTTTTAGACTAAACTCTATTATTTGATTCAAATAGATAACTTTTTCCACCACTCTATCTGTGGGGCTTGGGGAAAATCCATACACCAGAAAGCCACAAATTCACAACTTTAACTCCAGTTAGTTGCTATTGCACAAAACTGTTTTAGCTCATCTATTTATTGACAGTATTCAAGTTTCAAGAATTTTTTTATTATTTCCCTGCTTCATTACACCTTTTAACACATTTCCTTTTTCAAAATCACATATATGCTTCTGTATATCTTACATTTTATTGATCTTTCTAATTCCACATATGTTGTTCCAGATAGCTGTTCAGAGATTGTTGTCAAAGATCTTTCTAAATTGACCTTTACCAAGAAGATTACCTCCAATTATACAACTGTTTCCTACTGACATAATTTGAGCTCCTAACATTTTATTTGTCTTTATCTAGAAAGTGTTTTTGAATCCCTTCAAGTGGAACATTTTCAAGGGAGCAAAGTTAATTCCATAGTAATAATTATCATCATAAGACACAGTTTATTGACTTTTTAACTACTGAGAAACCCTATTCCAAGCACTTTACAGTATTTAAACTCTATATTGAATTAATAAATATTAATGTATTTAACCTCTATAATGAATTTTGAACTAAATGTTATTATTATCACCATTGATAAAACGAGGCATTTAAAATTGAAATTGTGGAGCTGATATGATAGAAAATGGGCAGGGGTGGGGAGAATAGAAGTACCTTGGATTAGACAAAGAGGAATAAAAGGAAGGGAGGGAGAATGGGAATAAGAAAGATAATAGAATGAACCAGACATTACATTCTCATGTGCATATATGATTACATGACCAATGTAATTCTACATCATGTACAACCACAGGAAGGAGAAGTTTTATATATATATATATATATATATATATATATATATATATATATATATGAATTCTACTGTCACATATAACTAATAAGAACAAAAAATGGTAGAAAATAATATTGAATATAAGCCATAGGGACACTTATATTCTACATTTTAAACACTAAGTTAAACTGTTGCTTTAACTCTCTAGCAGAGGAATGGGCCCACCCATGGTAGTAACCCTCACAGCATGAAATAACTTCATGGAGAGAAGAGATAGCTGAATGATACTAGCAAGATATGTGCTAAATAAGATGTCAACTATTATGTTGTCTAAAGACCCTCTTACTCATGATATTCTTGTACATAGATATTTTATGATCCCTTAGGCAGTTCAGAGGTTTCCAGAGCTATTCTCCTCCAAGCCTCTTTCAGAAAGAATGATAATAATGATGATAATTCCATCTCTTGCTCTCTAATGAAACCAATTGATGGGCTAAAGGGAATAAGGATGAGTTGCTTTCTTCCAGACCTGTTTAGCCACAGCCCAAATGTCCTATCCTAAAAACAGCTCTGCTTCTTGTTCCTATCATCAACAGCTCTCTGACAGTCCTGTTCTAAATGAAAATTTGAAAATTGTATCAAAGCATAGCTCTTGTTTTCCAAATCCAAAGTACTTACCCATCAACAACCAGTGATTATTAACATTTTTCTTCTTCAGGTAGATGCTGCAGCAAGAATTCTCAGTTAGTGGTCAAAATTATCATCATTTCTTCATTAGTTGTAAACATCATACTCGGTACCTGTTTGAGTATATATCAAAAAGGTATGTGGAATCAAAGGTATGGAAACTTTTGTAATTATCTCCTTTACCAAATGCCCAGTCACTGCTAAGACACTTAGCCAAAGGGGAGTGATACTTATTTTAACTACAGGAACAAGAGACCCTTGGACCAGATGTCACAGGGTTTGGAGGATTCCAACCTCATTGATTTTATAGGCTTAATGATACAATACAAATTGTTGAGGCTTCTCCTCCTAGAGGAAGAATTTCTTCAATTTAATAGTGTTATTTTTGCCCAAACTCAAGCCATCATCATTTTACCAAATGTTACTCTAATTCTTTCTATAATTTTCTCCTAGAAGAAGGAGTATTTCTCTATATATTAAGGGTTTTAGGTCACAGATTTATTTCAGATATTGTTGCAAAGCAAAGGACCTTCTCAAAATGATCCATTACTACATAAGAATTTTGTTTAATGTCAGGGTGTGCTGGACACCTAAAACTGATCCTTCTCCTCTTTGGTTCTCTTTGAGAGTGAAATTAAAATGGTAATTATGCAAGTCTTGGAACAGTTGAAGTCAACATTTGAAACACACCCTTTATATTACCTTTGCAGTCCCATGGAAATTGTATATACAAGATAATGATTAGTGAGATAAAGTAATTTTTTATAATAAGTTATGGTAAAAAATCATAATGCAGATGTCATGCAGTAGGGCTGGATTCTTTATAGGATTTTAAAATTTTTCTCCAGTGGAATAAAGACACAAATATTCCTTTGTAATTGATATGACATTTTGTTTATCCATTTATCCTCCAATGGATGATTGGGTTGTTTCATGTTTTAGCACTTAATGCCAAATGCTACTATGAACATAGTCATACAAATAGCTCTTCTAGATCCTGTTTTTAATATTTTGAGGTATATACACTGAAAGAACAAACAAGGAGAAAATGCCCATTTATTGAGGAACAGCTCTGCTTATTTATAGAGCTGGGGGTGGTTTTACAGTTATGACAGTTTAACAGTTTAATGGTTTGACAGTTGGCATGGGGTGCTTTCTGATTGGTGGGTAAGGATGATGTGAGCCAGCAGGGCTAGTCTGATTGGTGGGTAAGGATCATGTGAGCCAGCAGGTCTAATCTGATTGGTGGGAAAGGATCATGTGAGCCAGCAGGGCTCACCATTGGACGGCTCTTCTCGGGGGGATGGGGAAGTTAGTCTTTGGAGCTGGGGTGACTCCCAACATACACAGAAATGAATATTTTGGATCCTATTATTAATATATTTTTCTTAGGAATTGTCATACTACTAAGTGCTATAATAGTTACATTTGATGCATGAAAGTAATTTCTAATAGGCATAGCTATACAGTAATGAAACACATCACTTGATTGTTGGTGATGGTGCTGCCATCACAAAAACAATTACCTATATTATGAGCTGTAGATTTCTTCATTACAGAATCACCTAGAAACGACACTTTAAGTTTCTGAGTATTCTATTCCACCATATCCCTTATAAGGTCCTAGGGCTCTGAGGACTAGATAAAGAAGATAAGGCATAATGTGCCCATCTTTCCTTAAGACTCTGGCCAGCAAGAGCAAGTACCATGGTGCTTGAGTAGAATAGGTATTAACCTCTTCCAGCTTTAGCCTTAATGTGATCATCTTTAGAATCATCCATGTAGCCCAACCTCCTTCTCCCTGACTCATATAAATTCAGAAAGTATGGAATAATATTAATCTGAAAAGTAAATCCACCCTAAATATTTAATCCAGCACTCCTTACTGAGATGCATTCTTCCTAATTCTTGCATCTCTCCCCAGTCCCTGCTTCAGATCCACTATTTGAAATGAATGCTGTCTGGATCTGTGATATGATCATGATCCTGTGTATTCTGATGGTCTTCATCACCATGATCATTTCCCTTATTTACTTCAAAGTGAAAGGTAAATGGAATAGGAAATTCATAAAGCATGGTTCCTCCAACTGATGGCTAGAAGCATCAGTTCAGAAGCATGGACTCTCTGATCCTCATCTTAAAAATTGGAGAAAGGAATGAAGACCTCTGACCTATGTAAGGACTTGTGGATTGTATCCTTTTTGAGGTTTCTGGGGGTTCTACCCATCTTCTACGAGTTTCTCAGAATCCATTGACAGTCTCAACTCTGATTACACAATTATGACCCCTTTCCCAGAGAAACCTGGAAGGCCCAGCATTGTTTCATCCAGTCTCTGAAATTCCTGTATACTGAGCTCTTTGAAAGACTCACATGATTTCTTCTCATTTTATATTCAAGTTAGAACTGAACATTTAAAATCATATTTTTCTCTTTCAGAAACATGTAAGTGTCCATAGGTGTAAGACCAGAAACATTTTTGAAACTATAAAGGGCATAAATCTTTGAAACATTTTTTTGCCCTAACTTGGGCAAAAAAAAAAAAAAACTGACTCTACTGCACATGTAAATTCTCCTGAAAATAGAAGGAAAGATAGAACTAGTAACCCATGAAGGAAAATTTTAATACTTGATTCTTGTGTCCTACCAAAGTCCTACAATCTTTAAAAGTTCTATTAAAAATATTTACATGACATATATCAAAGTATATGACTTTATTATACTCAGCTTTGCCTCTTAAATAATAATACAAATCTATGGTGAGTTATTATGCACAATACAGAGAAAATATTTTTGTTTTTGTTTAAGTAAAAAAAAGAAAGAAAAGAAAAGAAAAAGAAATTGTCTTCTGTGTTTTCAACTAAAACTGCATCTACTGGCTTTTGGTTTTCTCTAAGCCACCTTCTGAGAACAGCCAGGTGTTGAGTTTGTTAGTCAGGTAGAACAAGCCAAATGACAATCCCAGTCAAGATGTTATTCACTATTGCAGCATTATAAGAAAGATGCTAAGAAGAAATGTAGTACTGTCTTTCCATACATTATAGTTTGGATCTAGAATGTCCCCAAAAGCTCATGTGTGGAAAGCATTCTCTCTCTCTCTCTCTCTCTCTCTCTCTCTCTCTCTCTCTCTCTCTCTCTCTCTCTCTCTCTCTCTCTCTCTCTCTCTCTTCCCCACTCCATAAGCTGAGAAGCTTTCCATTGCCACACCTCTCCATCATGATGTTCTGCCTTTTGACCTACTGCAAGGGAGTTAGCTGACCATAGACTGAATCTCTGAAACCATGGGCCCAAAATAATCTCTTCCTCCTTTAAGTTTTCTTTTCAGGTATTTTAAAATATCTTTTTAGTTGTCAATGGACGTTTATTTTATTTATTGATATGTGGTGCTGAGAATTGAGCCCAGTGCCTCCACATGCTAGGCAATTGCTCTGCCACTGAGCCACAACCCCAGCCCATCTTTTCAGGTATTTTGATCGCAGGGATGAAAAGCTGATTAACATGGTGCTGTTCTTTTTCCCTCCTAGACCAATACTTGAGCAAGGGGCAGGTGATGTGTGGCACAATTGAGGGAAAGTCTCATTACAAAGGGTTTTTGCCATTTGTGGGTTAGGAGCAGGGATGAGGGTATACAGGGAAGGGCTAGGAATGGAAATGTATTAAGTCAGAATGGAGAAGGTCTTACTGAAGATGTTCCATAAAATACAAGGCCTCAGCAGAGATGATTGAAAATTGTCTCCGCTGAGAACCCCAATAAAGAGGCCTCTAAAAGGAGGTTCCTGGACCACATATGTCAATGAGTATGACTGCCTGAGGGTGAGGAACTGAGTCCTTGACTACAACTGCCTCCAGAAATGTCAAGGCTCTTGCTGGCTAACAGCTTTTCCCCACAAGGGTTGCTAGGCAAATTCTTTGTAATTTCCACATAGTGGGACGTACAGGATCACACATAGGATTTGGGGCAGGGGTCAGACTTCTCATTACATTGTCAATGCAAACCCCTCCCCCCCCACACACACACACATTTAGATGAAACAAATGCAGAGATGAGTGTTTATTTGCAAAATACAAATTTGTACTCCTTATGAGTTTCTGCCACTAATATAAACAACCTAGTTATTATCATTTGCATTCACAGGAATGGGTTAATGATAAAGAGGAGGCTACAGCCAATATTTTTTCTGTTCAAGTCACACTTAACTATTGACCCAATGGGGGGTAGCAGAGTTGATTTAGCCATTTAAATGTTTTTTTCAATTTTGCTTTTTTATTTTTCCCAGAATTCTGTGGGGGGAAAAAGGTTAAAACAATGCATCTAAACTAGAGATTACACAATTCAGTGTACTTACAGACCAAATCATTGTTTTTCTCACCGTTATTTTTAGGTTCTTCTAATGGGTCTCATATTGGTAATATTATAGAATTTCATAACAAGAACTTCATGATAGTATGATCAAAATTGAAAGTGATCATAATTGACTGCAAATTGAAATCCCCTTAGCCACAAAATTTTTGCTTAAATAAACATAAAATTCTTCTTCCCAGGTCTGCTGTGCAGGGTGAACAGCCCCCCAACTCTGGACTGGTCATTGTATTGAGACTGTGATCATCAGGCGCAGCCTTGACTTGCTGCTGGGCTTCTACTTCCTCTTCCACATCCCCATCACTCTGTTTTTGGACCTGCATGCAGGTGGTGCTGCCACAAGAATTCTACTGGGTTATGTTTAGAAACCTGCTAACTTGGTATACTAAATAGTTCAAAGACCCTCTGATACAGAGCACCCCAGTATGCTTTAAGTCCTTCATGTTTTGTGAGCTTTTGTTTCAGCTGCCTTCTTTCCCATTGCAACATACACTTTCTTCAAAGGAAATTGCAAGTATATCCACATGCTTGTAATCATCTACTCAGTTCACATCCTAACAACATTAATTCCAATTCTCTCCACATTTCTATTTGGGGATTTCTCCAAAGCCAGTAGTTTCAAAGGACTAGGTTCTGAGACTTTCCGTGAATGAATAACCTCATAGCCATCTATACCCCTACATTCTCATTCCCCTCATACTTCTGGTTTTCATGTTGAAAAACCCCCACTATGAGGTAAAAAAAAGAAAAAATTAGGGAAACAACCACAGACCCAGGGAAGGATTCATGGGGCAATTGCCCTTCTTGACCCAATACAAGCAAAATTACTCTGAACCCATGTCTTCAGTAGCATTTGAAACACCAACAGCACTGCATAAGAGCAAGACAGTGACAAGTTACATCAAACTCTTAATCTTCCAAGGGCACTGGGATAAACAGATTGATCTGGGGGGCAAAGAAGTGGGGCTATCATAGGAAAGTCATGCCAAATACTTTACCAGGTGACTAAGTTCCATTGCAGAATTTCTAAAAGCAGGACCAGACCAGAAACTGGGTAAGATTCCTCAAAATATGGCCTGCTTGACTCATTCATGAGGCATCTGATCCACAGCATATACACATGACTAAACCTTTGACTCACAATTCACTATAGCTTATCACCAATCCAAAAAATAGTGGAGTGTTTCAGGCCATTCAAATTAGAAATTGTGTCTCTTTAATATTTATTAAAAACTATGTTTTCTTGGCCCTACCTCTACCCCTTGGAGAAAAAAAAGGAAAATATTATGCTGAAGAGGTTTAAACTTGTTCTCCTTAAGATTCAGCCTCAGCATGACTTGTCAAACAGGTTAAACTGGAAGGTGTTTATTTTTTAAACAGGTCATCCCAAGAGATTTCAAGTCACCTTGTTCATCTTATTTCGAAATCTTAGTCATCCATATTTTTAAAGACCATCTGAGGAAATTACCTTCACTCTGAAGGCTGGCATCTAAAGACTGTTCTGGAAGTGTGCTCCCTAATGGACAACTTCATCCTTTCTGACACAGTCTGGTCATTCCCATCCTGTTCAGGGGTGGAGTTAGCTGGGTGTGACAAGCCCAATTTGTACATGTCAGGTCTCTTCATGTTAATTCCATTAGTGTCCTCCAAATCTACTTGAGGCCAACACTAAAGAGGGAAAACACAAAAACAGGTCCCAGCCAACTCTGTTTTTTTCATTTTTGTTCACAAGCCATATTGATCTAACCATTGGTACCATCTGACTTGGATGCATCTAGTCCAAATAAAGTCAGCTACTGACCAAAAAAAAAAAAACAAAAAAAAACAAATATAAAACTGCAATATCAAATCGATTTTATTTCTAAAAGGTTTTTTTGGTGTTTGTTTATTTTGGTTTGGTTTTAGTAGTTGCATTCTCTGCACTTATTCTCTGTTCCCTCTCATTGGATGAGAAAGTTGATTATTTCAATTCCATATTTCTAATATTTCATGATTTTTCCAAGTTTCGTAAGCCAAAAAGATGAAAAAAAAAAAGAATAGCATTACCTTAGATTAGGTAGAGGGAAGTGAAAGGAGGGGAAGGCAGGGGACGTGGGATATGAAAGATAGTAGAATGAAACAGACATTAATACTGTATGTATGTATGTGACTGTATGACCAATGTGATTCTACAATATGTATACTCAGAAAAATGAAAAATTATATCCCATCTATGTATGATATATCAAAGTATATAACTGCATTCTACTGTCATGTATAACTAATTAAAACAAATAAAAAAAAATTTAAAGATGTAAAAGATATTTAGAAAAACTGAAAAAAAAAATGCAAAGACCCTAACTAGGTAAATTCTGATATGTCTTATGATATAAACACCAATTTTATTTTGCAATAGTCTTTCCTAAATAAAGCACAACAGACAGAAATTTACTATTATCTGAGTTTTGAGGATTTATAGAGAGAGAAAGAGACAGAGACAGAGGTAGACATGCAGAATATCTTTTAGATATAATTTCAATAATATATGCATTTACTTTAGTTATGAAGAAATAATATGCAAGTTAAATCAAGCTTTTCTCTGGGACACATTTATTCCTTGCAGGCTTCCTTCCAGCAGATATTTTTAAGCTAAGGAATTCAAGTTAATCCATTTAGAAATTAAAGTTGGGTGGTTTTTTTTTTTGTAGCTTTTAAAAATATCTCTGGCATTTCAGAGGGAGTCAATATGTTTTCAAAACATGTTCTCACTTCAACTATTTGCCTTTAGTAAGTTGTAAATTTATTATCTTGAGTAAATCACATGATCATCTCAATAGATGCAGAAAAAGCATTTGACAAATACAACAACCATTCATATTCAAAACACTAGAAAAACTAGAGATAATAGAGATAAACCTCAGTGTTGTAAAAGCTACATATGTGAAAATTCCCTCTAAAAACTGGAACAAGACAGGATGCCCTCTTCCACCACTTCCATTCAACATACTCCTTGAAACTCTAGTCAGAGCAATTAGGCAAAAGAAAGAAGTTAAAGGGATATGAATAGGAAAAGAAAAGCTCAAACTATCCCTCTCTGCTAATGACATGATCCTATATTTAGAAGAAGAAAAAAAAACCTCCACCAGAAAACTTCTAGAACTCCTAAACAAAGTGTCCAAAGTAGCGGGATATAAAATTAACACCCATAAATCAACTGTCCTCCTATATACCAGCTGATTGACAATCAGCTGAAAAAGAAATTAGGAAAACTATCTCATTCACAATAACCTCAAAAAAAAAAAAAAACCTGGGAGTCAATCTAACAAAGGAGATGAAAGGCCTCCACAATGAAAACTACAGAACACTAAAAAAGGAAATTGAAGAAGACCTTAGAAGCTGGAAAGATCTCCCATGTTCTTGGATAGGCAGAATTAATATTGTCAAAATGGCCACACTACCAAAAGTGCTATACAGATTAAATAATATTCCAATCAAAATTCCAATGCTGTTGTTGTTATAAATATAAAAAGCAATCCTGTAATTCATTTGGAAAAATAAGAGGTCCAGAATAGCCAAAGCAATCCTTTGAGAAAACTAAAGCAGGAGGCATCACAATACCAGACTTTAAATTTTACTAAAGAGCTATAGTACCAAAAACAGCATGTTATTAGCACCAAAACAGTCTTGAAGACCCAAAGGAAAAGAAAACACCACAAACCCACATAAATACAGTTATCTCATGCTAAAAAAAAGTTGTCATAAACATACATTGGAGAAAAGATAGCCTCTTTAACATTTGCTTCTGGGGAAACTGGAAGCCCATAGCAAAACAAAACTTAACCCCTACATCTCACCCTACACAAAACTCAACTCAAATTGGATCAAAGACCAGGTACTAGGCCAGAACTTAGTAGAAGAAAATATAGACCCAACACTCCATCATGTTGGCCTAGGAACTGACTTCCTCAACAAGACTCTTAAAGCATAGGAAGTAAAATCAATAATGAATAAATGGGACAGTATCAAACTAAAAGTCTTCTTAGCAAAGGAAATAACCAACAGCATGAAGAGAGAACCTACAGAATGGAAGAAAATCTTCGCCACCTGCACCTCATATAGAACATTGATCTCCAGGATATATAAAGAACTCAAAAAACTTAACACCAAAAACAATCAATAAATGGGCAAAAAAATTGAACAGGCACTTCACAGAAGAAGAAGTGTGAATAGTCAACAAATATATTTAAAAAGTCTGACTTCTCTAGCAATTAGAGAAATGAAAATTAAGACTACACTGAGATTCTATCTCACTCCAATCAGCATGGCAATTATCAAGAATACAAGTAATAATAAATCTTGGCAAGGATGTGGGTAAAAGGGTACACTCATACACTGCTGGTAGAACTGCAAATTGCAGCAACCATTATAGAAAGCAGTATGGAGATTACTAAGAAAACTTGGAATGGAACCATAATTCAATCCAGCTATCCCTCTCCTAGGTTGATACCCAAAAGACTTAAAATCAGCATACTACAGTAATGTATCCATGTAAATATTTATAGCAGCTCAATTCCCAATAGGTAAGCTATGGAACCAACAGAAATGTTCTTCAACAGGTGAATGGATAAAAAAAATGTTATGTATATATGTGATGGACTATTACTCAGCCATAACAAAGAATGACATTATGGCATTTGTTGGATGAATATGGAGTCTCTTATTCTAAGTGAAATAAACCAACCCCCCCCCAAAAAAAGGTTGGCTGTTCTAATATGTGGATGCTAACACACAACAAGGGGGAAGAGGGGAATAATAGAAATTCAGGGGATAAGAAAAAGGGGAATAAAGGGAAGGGAGGGGAGACAGGAATAGGAAAGATATTGGAATGAATCTGACATGAATTCCCAGTGTATATAAATGAATACAACACAGTGAATCTCCTCAGCATGCACAACCATAAGATTGGGATCCTAATTAAAATAAGAATATACTCCATGTTTGTATAAATGTCATGTATAACTAAAAAGAATAAATAATTTAAAAAAAAATCTATGATATACTTAAAATAACTAGAAAAAATACAAAATTCTCAACATATAAAAATGATGATTATTTGCAGAAATAAGAAATGCATACATTCCTGATGTGAAAATAAATTAGTACAAACAACTTGAAGAGAAAATGTCAATATGTATAATAAGAATTGAATTGTTGTAATCTACAACAATTTTTTGGTAGTACTGGAGATTTAACCTATGGGCATTCTATACTGTATCACTGAGCTATATCCCTTACCTTGTTTATTTTTATTTTGAGACAGGATCTCAGTAAGTTGCCCAGTCTGGCCTCAATCTGCCATCCTCCTGCCTCAGCCATCCCAGAAGCAGGGATTATGAGCATGTATCACTGTACCTAGTCCATCCCACTTTTTGACTAGGTATTTATTGCAGCTCTGAATAAAATGGTAAAATGCAGGAAGAGTAAGAGAAGAAGAAAGAGAATAATTACTTCCAAAGATGCAAAAAAAATCAATAAATGAATAGCTTATGTTTTTTAACATTGCCAAAAGTATATTTTGAACAGATAATGTTGGGTAAACACAATTATATGTTAAAAGGAAAAAATAAATCTTAATGATAATGATATACATTTTAAATAATTAAAAACAATGGAATAAGGAATACATACTTATAAATGCACACACACACAAACTGCAAAACCATATACACCAAAATCCAGATAATCATGTCTGAAGTAAATAAGGAGAAGAAATTGTTGCTTGATAGTTGACTGAATTGGAAAACAATTTCATACTTTAAGCAAAGATATAGGAAGCAAATTGTAATCTCTGCTTAATTTTGTTGATTTTTGTTGAATAGCTATAGTTTAGAAACTGAAGAATATTTATTCAAAAACATTAACTGTATCTTGATAAGAACAGCAGGAATTTTTGGCATTTTTGCCAGAGGCTACTCCCTTCTATTCTGCCCTGAAGCTTCATGACACAAATTTTACCCTTGAAGAAACAGATAGGCCTTAAAAATTGGTATCTCTACTACTTTGCCAGCAAAGAGCACTTTATTTGGAGCAAAGCCTGGGAAAACACAGGGTGTTTAAGAAACAGTAGAAATCCCAGGGGGAAGCAATTAGGGAAAGCTAATATCCCAGCTATATTAGTCTGGATAAGGAAAAATAAAGGTAGGCTGTTGAGAGCCACAGCCGAAGGGGCCCCAGCAAACTTTCAGACTGCCAGCTGATGATTGGCTCACAGCGCCCCAGCAACATCTAGCTGATTGGTTCCTCTGCAGTGATGCTCATTGGGCTGTTTCCCTGCCCTTTCAGACCATGGAGCTGCTCATTGGGGGACTTTTTTGGCTCTGCCCACGCGACCCAGCCAATCGGCCTCAAGACCAGGAGGATTGTGGGAGGTGGAGAGGCTTGGGGTGGTGGGAGAGGCTTGCGGGAAGCCAGTGGTGGCAGTTGGGCTCTGAGGGTTTTTCCTGAGGAGCTGTTTTGTTTGGCGTGTGTGGTTCTAAAAATAAAGTTCATTTCTTTTGACAAGTGGCTCCTGAATCGTGCCCAGCCAGACTGCGGCAGCAGGCCAACCAAAAATTCATCAGAGATTCATGGAAAAAAGACATCTAACTTTCTAAGATGACCCTTATGCCTGATGATAAATAAGATTCTTTGCCTCTATCCACTAGTTCCTCCTTTTCCTCCAATCATTTTTATATCTTCACAAATACATTGTCACTTAATTTTGTTGGTAATGTTCTCCACTGGATTTGATTTAGCTGTCTAGTTTCTCTATTATTATGTAAGGAAATAGGAATATTTACATGTTAGGCTACATTTTT